CTACAGTGAGGGGAATCCAGATTTTTCTACCACCTGATTACTGTCTCAATATATAAGTCATTTGAATAAGTCACTTCACTCATCTTACTCTTGGATTCTCATTTGTAAAATGAAGGGACTAAACTAGGTGACTGTGGCTTCATATTTTTACAATCATAGTCAAAACACTGATGTAAGAGGCATTTTATTTTGGAAGTTAATAGTATAAATTATTCTCTGGCATGCTGCAGCTCATGAGGTTGCAAAGAGTAGGACATGACTTAGTGACTGAACAACAATGCTCATTTGATAAGTCTAAAAGGCTGGTGCTTCCTATATAATTAGATGATAGTTTAAATAGTAGTAAGCTAAATGCAGATACTACTTTTTAATTGTAACGTAATTTCATAAGTCTCATAAGGCAATGAGACTCTGTAAAAACATAGTTTTTGTAGGTATTCAGAACTAGTTTAAAATATTAATTCTGCCTAAACTATACAGCCTTCTAATCCAGCCTACATACAACTGCCAAAATTATCTGAAACAGATCTTATAAAGTTATTATGCCTCTGTCAATGACAAAATACATTCCAAACTCTAGCATGACAGTCAATGATTCACAATTTGGTTCCATTCTTCTTTTTCTTCTCATGTTCTACATGATCTTGTATTTAGCACAAGATTTCCCAAATAAGACCCCACAATACCACTGTGCTGAGGGACATTAAGACATATTCAATGAAAAAAAAAAAAAAGAGTTCCATGGTTAAATAAACCCTCCTCAAATGCCATTTCCTGTGTGAAGCGTTCCTAATATCCTTCTATAAAAATTACTTAATCTCTTTTTATTCCTAAAGTACTTCACTTATATTTGACTTTGGAAAGTTTTTTTAATTGATAACTGAACTGAGGTTTAAAGTAAAGTACAGCTATCCCTAAGTTTTATATATTTGGTCTTCACATTCTTCCAAGTTCACTATTGCACAAAAATCTAAATAGTACTTTTCATTCTTTTGAAAAACAGAACTTTTGGACAATAAATTACATTCCAAAGTAATTAGCTATAGGGACATATCATAAAAGTAATATGGGTTTGGGGGAAAAATAGGATCTGGGTTCAATTTCCAGTTCTGCAAACAACAAGCTGAACACTGGGCAAATTACTTAACCTTTCTGACTCTCAGTTATCTCATCTATAAAGTAAAGATAATTCCAATTCCTAAACAGATTTGCTGACATTTTAATAAGATAATGAGCGAGTCAATCTATATAAACTATATATGAAAGAATATATAATATTTAGCACAATATTTAGTAGACACTAAAAAAGTCAGCTTCTTTTCCAAGTATGCTTATATATCCTTCTACTCTAATTTGTAACAAAATGGCACAAATGAAACATAATAGAATAAAAATTTTAAAATGTTAAAAATCCAAGTTTGTTTTTCAAATTGTTTACATAGTGTGTTATTTCCTGCAAACCTTGAGTGTCAAATTAGAAGGCACAGTAATAAAATACTGATATGGCATGCCTAGAAACAATCTTTAGGAGACATCTACTTTGGCAAGAAGATTTTAAGCAACAGTACTCTGTGAGACATTAGATGAGATCTCATCTGAGACACTCAACTACTGATTGTTCAATTAGCTTCTTTAAAAGGGTTAAATAATTTCTTAAATGTCCATTTAATCTATTCTCATGTATGCTTTTGTTTTTGTTTTCCTGCTTAAGACATGTTGGTGTTTCTATTGAATGTGACAGCTATGTGATTTGAATATTATCTTTCGCAAGGCCATTAAGTTAAATAAATAGCATTTGGCTCTCTTTTAGATATGTATGGATCACCTTGGACTCAATAAAGTAGAACTGTTATCAGTATATTCTTCCTCAGAGAAGTTAATCTGGTTAGCAAGACAATCATCCTTGTTGTGACAGGTACTTTACTTTTACTATCACTACTATCGGGGCTTCCCTTGTAGCTCAGTAGGTAATGAATCTGCCTGCAATGCAGGAGACCTGGGTTTGATTCCTGGGTCAGGAAGATCCCCTGGAGAAGGAAATGGCAACCCACTCCAGGATTTCTTCCTGGAGAATCCCATGGACAGAAGAGCCTAGTGGGCTACAGTCTATGGGGTCGCAAGAGTCGGATACGACTGAGTGAATAAGCAAACACACATCACTACTATCACTACTTCTTTTCTAGCTCAACTCAAATATCTCTTTCAAAAGCCTTCCATGATCATCATAGGCAGAAATTTATGCATGTCGTCTTACATCTTCCTAAGTACTCTTAGTATTACACAGTATTATTATGCTTATTGCCTTGTGCTTTGCATTATCTTATATTAATTATTTTTATATGATCTTTATTAAATAGTACATATCCTTGTTTTGAACATTTTACAGATCAAGATATTGGAGAATACAATATTGGAGAGTACAGCAAGAAATTTGTTGATGTATAATAAAATAGCAAGATATTGAGATTCTGAACTTTAAGAAATCAAAGTGGTAAGAAATAAAGATCCCAGCCTTAAGTCAGAGTTCCTTTAGGTTAAACCACATTGCTCTGCTTTCCTTTTTCATTATTTTTAAGATTTTGAAAAATCTTGTCACAAATTCCAAAACAATTGTTCCATTTACAAATTCCAAAGCAATTTTTGTAAGTTTCTACAAATAAAAACATCAACAGTTATATGAAAGAAAAATATTCTAAACTTTGACCATTAGAAGATTCTCAGAATAAGAAGGTCTCTTTTCTTAAAAATGACACTCAGAAGACAACTAGGGATAGGGTTTTTTAAAGCCATAAATAGAAAGTATCAGTTCTAATTACTTAACAGATCAGGATACTCTAGATCAGACATCTGAGGCTAAATTCTCTTTAAATAAAACTACAAAGTAGCAAGGAATACTACTGTATCAAAGCAGTGAGCCATTTTCCTTACTATTGCTCTTCAGTACCAAAGAAAGCAATTATTCAGCTACATACAATAAGTATATTTTGTAATTCTATTTTGAGTCATCTAGGTAGATAGACTGTGTCCTTGCCTGCATTAGTACTTCTTTTACATGTTTATTATAAAATGTATATACTACAAATACATTTTCACAAGTTAATCATCCTGATCAGATAGTGAGTTCTGAGACCAACAGCCATGTCCTATATTAATACTAGTTAACATTTACTGAGTGTTTACATGCTAGGTTTAAATGCATTATTTCATTTAAATTTAGACAACTTTAGGAGATTATTATACCAACTTTAGAGATGCAATCTATTGAGTTCTATAAGAGTAGAGACCTCATTATTTCACTCACTAGTATATCTCCTGTGCCTAGTACAGAACCTGGTATACTGAAGGTACTTAAGAAGTGTTTGTTGAATAATGAGGAAACCAGAGCTCAAAAAAGCAAACTTATACAGGAAGTAGGAAAGACTAGCTTGAATTCAGTTATGCCTGACTTTAGATCTTAAGTCTGTGCTCTACTGCCTCTTTATTTCCAACATCAGGCTCAGAATTTGGTACTCAGAGAGTATATAGCAAAGTATATAGCAAACATCTAACGAATAAACGAATGAATGAATCCCTACCTTCAGATTGCTTATCCACTTCATCTAGCATTCCTCTACTTCTTTATTTCCCTATCCTGATTTTTAATCTCTAAGCCTAGGACATTAGTCATAATTATAAGTTTTCATCCTTCCTATCAGCATACACAGATATCTATTTATCTTCCCTCTACACAGAGAAGAAAATATTATTGGAAAAACACAGGAAATTGCAGCATGGAAAGTTACATGAATAGTTTGTACCTTTTATTACAAAACACAGTACCAAATAAGTAAAAAACACAAAAGAGAAAACTGAGTGGTCATAAACTTAAAAAGATTAACTCAAAATTTTCAAGTAAGAAGTTTATAAAAACTGAAGCATTCTTCACATAAACTTAGTTTATTTTTATACTGTGTTAATAAATATTTCTAATAAAGGGATAAATATACAAAGATATCACTTCAAGTTATAACAAACAGCAAGGAGGAGAATGCCCTCCTCCCAATAGCATCTACCTTTAGACATCCACTTTTAGCTGGCCTATGGAAAAAACCTAGGCACAATAATGTGGATATGGAATTTATTTCTTTAAAAAACATATTTCAGATGATTATTGTCTAGTTTTAGTTTAAAAGGTTACAGGAACATTTACTTTTTAATATAAACACAAAATATTCTACGAGTACAAGGCCTCTAATCCTCCTGGAATATGCGCTTCCTTGCTTATTTATGTATCTTTATCTATCCTGCTTTGTTAAAAGAATGGTGACAGGAGTCAAACAAATCTAGTTAGAATCCTGGCTCTGCCCCTTAATAACTGTGTAACCATGGGGCAAATTACCTAATATCTCTGAGCTTGTTTTCCTTAAAATGTAGACAATAATCCATAATTTTTAGGACTGCTGTGGAGATTAAAGTCTATGTAGTAATGAGCATAGTGACAGGCACATCACACCGCTCAATAAACAACAGCTCTCTTTATTAAGGATCTCATACTCATTTTACTCTAGCTTCATTCTAGGATGCACATAAGTTACTATTTCTTATACCAAAGTTTCTTATGTTTGTTTCTCTTGATATAAATAACCTCCCAACTCATATATGTTAGACTGAAAATTTCTTGAGTATTTCCCCCATATCTTTTCTAGAAGATAATGTCATAAAAAAGACTGTTTACATGTGCATGTGAATAATATTTCCTGTTTTTCTGTGCTTATAAGAGCAATGTTGCACCTGCATGATTGTCTAAAAACAGCTAGTGGAGCCTGGGCACTAATGTTCTTGGTATTTCTATTTTGCTTACATCTCCTATAGGAACTTGTCTGCAATCTGTTTTAAACACTGTTCTTTCCTAGAGTAGCCACCATTTCATTTCCATAAGCTGTATATGCATATAATATACTAGAAAAGGAAAATACAAAGCAGGTTAAGTAATAAAATGTGTAATAATTTTCAAAAATTACCTGATGGAATATAGGCTCCTTTACCTTAAGGTAAACCTGAAAAAGAGTAAAAGAAATAGATGTGAAAGAAGTGCCTTATGAAGGGGAAAGAAAACCTATACCTGCTACCTTGCAAATCTCATACGTCTCTGGCCTTCATCTTGCTTCCTAGAACTGACTCCAGCCGTGTAAAGCCAATCAGATTATGTGGCTTGCCACAAAAGGGCTATCACCTACAGGTGTGTCTGCGCCAGTGCTAGCTTCCTAATGTGTTGTTTTCATTTAGTCGCTAAGTTGTGTCTGAGTGTTGCAACCCCAGGAACTGTAGCCCGCCAGGCTCCTCTGTCCCTGAGATTTCTCAGGCAAGAATACTGGAGTGGGTTGCCATTTCCTTCTCCAAGGGCTCTTCCCGACTCAGGGACTGAACCTGTGTCTCCTGCACCTCAGGCAGATTCTTTACCGCCGAGTCACTAGGGAAGCCCGAGCTTCTTCAAGGCAAACGAAATACTTCACAGCTGCCGTGGATTACTCTGGCCTCCTGGCCTCTGCATGAGCATCAGGGAGAAGCACAGATGCATGAACACTCATCAGCGCTGAAGAGGTTATGCTGACAATCCCTGCAGCAGATGTTTCACAATAGCAAGAACACTGGACTTAGCAGTAAAATTTTAAACTGCCACTTACTTGCTACATGTCTGAGCAAGTCATTTAACTAAAAGACTCATTTTTCCTTATCTGGATAATGGGAATAATAATAGGTAGCAATAATTAGCCAAAATATGTGCAAGTCTCTAGCACATAATATATGCTAATCAGTGAAAACATTTAAAATAAATTTCTTGTTCTTTCTTCTGCTTCCAAAAATCATTGCATTCTCTGCGCAAAAATCTCAGTGCATTCACTGAGAAACATTTTCAGTTACACAAACTCTAGTTTCAGGCTCCAATGTCATGTGGGTGACCAAGTTCAATGCCCACTTATTGTATGCATTTATTGCCCTGTAAGAGTACACCTTTAAAAAGACATGGTAGAGAGGAGTCAAAATTTAAATCACAAATCTGAAATGACTCCTATCACTTACAGGACAAAGTCCAAATTTCAAAGCCTTCCCATGACATTGCTCTAGCCTTTCTGTTTGCCTTATTCCTATCTTCCTGTCTCTTTCTCATCCTAGGCTCCAAAAAGTATACTGCTACCCCAAAGAGGCTAGTTTCATGCTTCTGTATCTTTAAACATGCCATGCTTCACTGTGTTAGCAAATGCCCCTCTGGTAAACACTCATCTTTTAAGATTCAGCTCAAATTTTACCACTTTCTTGAAGTCTTTTCTCAGTTTTTTTTCTGCTTAGCAGAATCCACCACTCATCCTTCTTTCTACCAGACTGTCAATGTATAAACATTATGGCATTTATTAGTTTCTTTTCTCCCCTACAAGGCAATAAACTTTTTGGTAGAAAGGACCATTCTTATACATCTTTATAGCCTCATTTAACATACTGCTGATCTCACAAATTTTATGTAATTTTACAATTTGCTACAGAACATCTTATTCCTGGAGGAAGTTCCTTCATTACAAGAGTTGATCATTTTCTTAAGCAACCAGAAAGCTTTAATAGTAAGATGTGTATGAAACATTTATATATGTATAACTCTAAACTCTAATAAGGCAGAATGTTTTTAAACTCTGAAATTTGCTATTTCAAAATACTAATTTCCCTTTACATAATTTCAGATTCTCAGTGTTAGTAACAGAAGAAATGCAGATGAGCAAGGCTCTTAAAAGGCTTTTTTTTAAAAAATGGCAAAAGAATTATGGAGTCCTTACTATGAACCAAGGGTTAATTTTTACAAGTAACATGAAATGTATGTTTATTACTATTTTCATTTTACAAATGAGGAAATTTCAAGAGGTTAAGTAACTTGTCCAAAGTCCCATAGTTATTAAGTAACAGAGAGTATTTAGTAGGTCCTTAACCAAGACAGGGCTTCCCTGGTGGCTCAGAGGGTAGAGCGTCTGCCTGCAATGTGGGAGACCCGGGTTTGATCCCTGGGTCGGGAAGATCCCCTGGAGAAGGAAATGGCAACCCACTCCAGTATCCTTGCCTGGAGAATCCCAGGGACAGGGGAGCCTGGTAGACTACAGTCCACAGGGTTGCAAAGAGTTGGACAAGACTGAGTGACTTCACTTTCACTTTAACCGAGACAAGCAACTTAGAGCATGAGCAGATTTTGTAGGAAAGATAATGAGTAGGTTTGTATCATGGGGCAGGGGTAAGTAAGTACAACTTGGAATGTGCTGAGATTGAGGGTCCTGATATTAGTGATATCTAACTCTAAGGCTTAAGATGTGGATTTGATACTTGTCAGGTTATAGGTAGTACTAGAAATGTGGGAACAGATGAACTGGCACACAGAAGTAATCAGCTATCTCAACCTATTTGGAAAAGGTTAGGCATTAAAATAGTCACAGGAGGTCCTAAAGATTAGAGCCAATTTCTTTTTTTTAACAAACAGGAGGTAATATGTTCATCCATGAGGAAAAGTTAATCGTTAATTGCTTTCTATTGCTACTGAATATCTGCCTTTTGACTCTTCCCACTTCCTGTTATAAAAAAAAAAAGGTTAAAAAAAATTGTTTCAACTTTTGTTGAGAAATAACACCTAAATAGAATAGAAAACAAAGAAGCAATATCTATAGGGAGTTTCCTTTAGAAATATTTCAGTTTGAACAGCATGAGGCAAACACTAGAAGCAAAATGTACCAAACTCCATAAATGGCAGCTCACATGCTTAATTTGTTAGAAATAAAATATGACTTACTATGGTTACTATTAAACTGAAGAGAACTAAGGTAAAAAGCAGATGGTAGTTTACAGAGTTCTTCGTCTTAAAACATTCAAACCTTAAAAAGAAAAAAGAGAGAAACTTGTTTTAGAATATAAAACTAGGAAAACAAACAGAATGCTGTTTTGCCATGTGTATACATGCCCTGGGTATACTGGTGCCCGTCATTTCCTTGCAATCACACACTCATCTTAGAGAACCCACACTGCCCACAGACACCTGATGTCAACTAAGGGAAGAGAGCAGGCATCTTCTGCTCTCCCCTTCTTACAGTATTCATCTGGATACTTCTATTAAATTATCTGCTCTCAATTTGTCTCATGCAGGTACAGGGGTATCAGGATATTAGTTTATAAATGCTCACTGTTACTTTTTCTTTCAATAAATATAGTTTTGACAGAAAAGACAGATCAATAAACAATGTCAAGGAGAGCACAGACCCTAGTCTCAGTCTTAATAGGTTTCAGAAAACAGTGGCTAGAATTTCCATGTTTTTGATCTTAGGTTTTCTAAGTAACCAAATCTGCACTGTCACAGATGGGCTGATGACATAGTTTTCTAGATTGGGGTAGGAAACCACAGTGCAAAAACCAGTTTCTCAACCTAAGCCTGACTTTGCAAATAAAATGTACTGGAACACTGTCACACCCATTGATTTATAGCTTATCTATGACTGCTTTTATGCTACAATAGCAGAGGTTGAAGACTTGCAACAGAGACCACAGACCCAGAGATCCTAAAATAATTACTTCTGGTCATTTACAGAAAGTTTCTGATGAATTCTTTCTAATAATATATTCTTTCAAACTATTTTTAATTTTTTAAAAATTTATCTATTTTTTCAGTTCATTTCAGTCATTCAGTCGTGTCTGACTCTTTGTGACCCCATGTACTGCAACACGCCAGGCTTCCCTGTCCATCACCAACTCCCAGAGCTGGCTCAAACTCATGTCCATCAAGTCGGTGATGCCATCCAGCCATCTCATCCTCTGTCGTTCCCTTCTTCTACTGCTTTCAATCTTTCCCAACGTCAGGGTCTTTTCCAAGAAGTCAGTTCTTCCCATCAAGTGGCCAAAGTATTGGAGCTTCAGCTTCAGCATCAGTCCTCCCAATGAATATTCAGGGCTTATTTCCTTTAGGATTGACTGGTTTGATCTCCTTGGAGTCCAAGGGACTCTCAACAGTCTTCTCCAATACCACAGTTCAAAAGCATCAGTTCTTCGTGCTCAGCTTTCTTTATAGTCCAGCTCTCACATCCATGACTACTGGAAAAACCATAGCTTTGACTATGTCAGCAAAGTAATGTCTCTGCTTTTTAATATGCTGTCTAGGTTGGTCACAGTTGCTTTATAGAATTTTGTTGTTTTCTGCCAAACATGAACATGAATCAGCCATAGGTATACATATGAAAACTCTTTTTACTTTTACGTATCTTTAGAAGAAGATATTCTTGAACTAGCAATGATGACCAGGTTGAAAAGAATCAGATAACCATCACATAAGAGGTTCAGACAAGTTTGAAGTATTAATACTAGGGAACAGAAGGTATACTTTAAAAGTTAAGTTTATTAAACTTGTAGGTTATTAACTGCATGACCTTAAGCAAGTCATCTCAGCATAAGCTCTGCTTAAATTCTTAGATAAAATGAAGACAATATCCATTTATTTTGTACAACTGTGAAAATTTAGAGATGACTTGTTGCCCTGCATAATTCAAGGTACAAAGTAGAAAAATGTTATGGATTTTGGATAATATATTTGAGATCACACAAATTCATAAACATTGTTAGTATAACTTCCAAAAGATTATACTCTGTATTAAAATCACAAAAGTTATAATCTTCTACACTGTTTTAATCTCCCAGTAATATAACTGCATTAGTTATGTTAATTCCCTATGAAACAAACATGAATTTTAAAATATATCAAGTAAATAAATTTTAAATGTAAATACTTACATGCAGTATACAAATATACAACAGCTGTAGATCATTGGGAGTTCATCCAATAGCTAAAAGAAGCAGACAGGTAATAGTACTTGAATACTGTAGAGCTGCAATTATTATTGAAATCCAAAATAAAACAGCAGAATGACTAAGATGGTCACCTTTTATTATCTAATACATTTTACTAATTCTCATATTTATCATCATCTAATTTATTCTCGGTGTGTATATTTATTTATTTATTTATCCATTTGTTTTTATTAGTTGGAGGCTAATTACTTTACAATATTGTAGTGGTTTTTGCCATACATTGACATGAATCAGCCATAGATTTACATGTGTTCCCCATCCCGAACCCCCCTCCCACCTCCCTCTCCACCCGATCCCTCTGGGTCTTCNGGTGTGGAGAAAAGGGAACCCTCTTACACTGTTGGTGGGAATGCAAACTAGCACAGCCACTATGGAGAACAGTGTGGAGATTCCTTAAAAAACTGGAAATAGAACTGCCATATGACCCAGCAATCCCACTCCTGGGCATACGCACCGAGGAAACTAGATCTCAGTGTGTATATTTAGATTACTGTTTTTGAACAAATGAACTTTACTAGCCATCTATCTGTCTTAATGTACATACTTAAGTAGGATGCCTGACTCACTGCTCAGCTTGGATCATTCAGCATCATAAACTATGATAACATGCCTCCATCAAGGAATGATGTCCACCATATACAAGTTATAGGTCCTTTCAGTATTCTTTTGCATTTTTTTCTTCATCCTATAGCACCTAAGATAAATAAAATGGTTGGATGGCATCACTGACTCAATGGAAATGAGTTTGAGCAAGCTCCAGGAGATGGTGAAGGACAGGGAAATCTGGCATGCTATAGTCCATGGTGTTGCAAAGAGTCAGACACAACTGAGCAACTGAACAACCACTCATATATATAAGAGATAGTAATGGCTGGGGAAGTCAGTTAATGTAAGTGATGTCAAAGTATGTCTCTGAAAAATAATATAATTATTAGCAACAGTAACAACTATAGCTACTATATATTAAACTACAAGCTGAACAGCGGCCAGCTAAGTGTTATGATAGTTATTTCTTTTTTTGGGGGGAAGGGTGTATTTCTAATCCTTAAATTAATCCTTAAACCAATCCTATAGAATTTATTCACTAGATATGCATTTAATGAATTCTTTAATAATATACTACTATACATGAGGCAACATGTTAGGAGCTGAGGATATGAAGAAAACAAGACATAATCACATAATTGACCTCAGGGAATTCATAGTCTATTGAGGTAGAGGGAATGAAAAAATAAGTGATTAAATATACAGCAAATATTCCTGAAAAAGAAGCAAAAGAAACCAGAAAAGATGGTGGCAGGAAATGAAGTGAGATGGCAGAGAAAGGCATGCTAGGGAGAAGGAAGAGAATTTATGCAAAGTGATATATTCTAGTAAATTATTGGAATAATGAAAATGACAACATTTGTGCAAGGTATTATGATCAAATGTTTCACATTCATTATCTCATTTAATCTGCACAATCCTAAGGTAGGAACTATTATCTACATTCCAAGATGAAAACACTGAGGCTTAGATGGTTTAAGCAACATTTCGAAGATCACAATGCTAGTAAGTAACAGAGCCAGATTTTGAAGGGGCTCTTTTATATTATGTTGCCTCCAAAACCTTTCACTTGAGTCACCTTTAAATGTTCAAAAACACTGGTAGGTATAACACAATGACAAGCTGCAGGTAAATCAACCACCAGTTTTATGAAGATTCCTTTATTTAAAGTTTTGAACCAGTATCTACTGACTTTACATTAAACATCTAACCCAGAGGAATCCGGNTGGAGAGGGAGGTGGGAGGGGGGATCGGGATGGGGAATACATGTAAATCCATGGCTGATTCATGTCAATGTATGACAAAAACCACTACAATATTGTAAAGTAATTAGCCTCCAACTAATAAAAATAAATGGGGAAAAAAAAACACATCTAAATGGGTCTTTTGTATTTCCATTTAAATTTTTAAACTTTTCATTCCAGGTCAGTGAAAAATGTATTGTTAGGGATTGCACTGAATCTATAGATCACCTTGGGCAATATGGTCATTTTAACAACACTGTTTCTTCCAATCTAAGAACATGGTATATTTTTCTACCTGCTTGAGTCATCTTCAGTTTCTTTCATCATGATTTTATAGTTTTCAAGTACATGTCTTTTGCTTCTCTGAAGTGAAGTGAAGTGAAAGTCACTCGGTCGTGTCCAACTCTTTGCGACCCCATGGACTATATGGTCCATGGAATGCCAGGCCAGAACACTGGAGTGGGTAACCGTTCCCTTCTCCAGGGAATCTCCCCAGCCCAGGGATCGAACCCAGGTCTCCAGCATTGCAAGCAGATTCTTTACCAGCTGAGTTGCCAGGGAAGCTTTGCCTTCATAGGTAGGTTTATTCCTGGGTATTTTAATCTTTTTGTTGTGATAGTAAATGGGATTATTTCAAGTTCTCTTTCTGATATTTCTTTGTTAGTGCACAGAAATGCAACAGATTTCTATATATTAATTCTGTATCCTGCAACTTTATCAGATTCATTGATGAGCTCTGATAGTTTTCTGATGTTGCTTTATGATTTTCTATGTAAGTATCCTATCATCTGCAAACAGTCAACATGTGATTTTTAAGGGGACACAATTCAGTTCACAGCACTGTGGTAGTATGCTTTGTAACATAAATTTTATTATTATTCAGGTATGGTGAAGCCAATAAATCAGGAGATGACTGCCACTGAAAAGGAATTTCCTGGTGGTCCACTGGTTAGGACTCTGCACTACCAGTGCTGGGGCCTGAGTGAGCTCCCTGGTCGGGGAGCTAAGATTCTGCAAGCTTTGTGGCAAGGTCAAAAACAAGCAAACAAACAAAATAGGAGGTTAAAAATCAAGGGGGAACTTGGTCCCTTCAAAAAGAAAAAGAAGGAAAAGATAGTTTGCTATTCACAGTTCCCAAGAGAGAACTTCCTTGCCATGCAGAGCAGCACAGGAAAGCACCAGGGTCAGTCAGGAGGCAGAAAGAGCAAGAGGAAAGTATGGGCAAGAGCCTTTATAGCCATTTCCCTAAGAAATGCAAGGCAAGGGAAGGTAAGCAGGTTTAGAATTGACTAATTTGAATAACTTCAAGGGGCTCTAGGATATGGGCGTAATCTCTAGTTATCTGGTTGTTGCTGTTACTGTTCAGTTGCCTAGTCCAACTCTTTCCAAGCCCATGGACTGCAGGACACCAGGCCTCCCTGTCCCTCACCATCTCCCAGAGTTTGCCCAAGTTCATGTTCATTATATCAGTGATGTCATCCAGCCATCTCATCCTTTGACACCTTCTTCTCCTTCTGCCCTCAATCTTTCCCAGCATCAGGGACTTTTCCAATGAGTCAGCTGTGTGCCTCAGATAAACAAAATACTGGAGCTTCAGCTTCAGCATCAGCATCAGTCCTTCCAGTGAATATTCAGGGTTGATCTCCCTTAAGATTGAATGGTTTGATCTCCCTGCTGTCCAAGGGACTTTCAGGAGTCTTCTCCAGCACCACAGTTGGAAGGCATCAATTCTTTGGTGTTCTGCCTTCTTTACAGTCCAGCTCTCACAACAGTATGCAACCATTGTAAAGACTACACGGACCTTTCTCAGCAGAGTAATGTCTCTGCTTTTCAACACAATGTCTAGGTTTGTCATTGCTTTCCTGCCGAGAGGCAATTGTCTTATGATTTCATGGCTGGCACTATCAGGTACCTGGCACTAAAATGATTAGGGCAGAGAAATACTGCTTCCTGGAGTGTAAGAGGTAGTTTAGAGAACGGGTTCTGAATTGGTTAGTTTGCATATAAAAGGCACAGTTCAGGCTGAGTAGTTTTGCTATATCTAAGAACTGGCTATCCCTTGTATATTCATGTGCCAGGGCATCAATACAGAAGATAATAAAGCTATCATGAACTGAATGTTTGTGTCAAACGCAAATTCATATGCTGAAGGTCTAACCCCCAATCTGATGGTATTTGGAGATGAGTCTTTTGGGAGGTAATCAGGGTGAGATGAGGTCATGAGGGAAGGGCCCTCATGATGGAATTAATGCCCTTCTAAGAAGAGACACCAGAAAACTAGCAAGAAGGTGGGTGACTCCAAGCCAGGAAGAGATCTCTCTCACCAGATCTGATCCTGCTGATACCCTGATAAAAATCTATTGTTTAAGCCATCTAGTCTATGGTATTTTGTAATGGCAGCCTGAGATGACTGCTGCTGCTGCTGCCAAGTCGCTTCAGTCGTGTCCAACTCTGTGCAACCCCATAGATGGTAGCCCACCAGGCTCCTCCATCCCTGGGATTCTCCAGGCAAGGATACTGGAGTGGGTTGCCATTTCCTTCTCCACTGAGATGACTAGTACAGTAAATATGTGGCGTCAGATCAGGTATGTGTGGAGAATGCTCTGAAGGGAAAAAGATAAGAGTATTTCTATTTCAGTGACAAAAGGCTGATGGGGGAGGCAGGGACATCAATAGGAACCAGTTACAGGAATCTAGGTTGGAGATGATAGATTAAGGCAAAGGCAGATGGAGAGAGTCAGAGGTAGATGCATTCAAGAGTTATTATACAGAAGTTGAATCAAGAGGTTTTAGAGTTTCTAGAGGTGAGAAAAGCAGGAGAAATTAGAAATGAATCACAGGTTTTTGGTTTGGGTTTTGGATGTAAGATGGTTTCATTCACTGAGATAGGGAGCAAAAGAGAAAGAAGGGTAGTATTTATTTATAACCAGAACATCTGCTGTTGACATTATAAAGTCTGATATTGCTTACATTACTACCTAACATTTAAGCTATTTTTATTTTTGTATTATAAACAAAGTTATAAGTGAACAAACATTTTTCTTTGGTTTTAGTTGGTTTTAGTTTCTAGGATAAATATAATTATTTTTACTTAGTTGAAATACATGAATATTCTTTTACTAGCATTTTCCCACTAACATCAAACATATTCTATGCTCAGTACAGAATACATAGAAATAGCAGAA